ATAGACTTCAGGATTTCCATATATTTCCAGCAAATACAGCAATACAATGCAAACCAATGGGCTGCTGGTATGCCAGATTACCAATCCAGCCCTGCCTGTGAGGGATTTCTGAGAGCAGTGATGAAGAAAAGATGAGAGCAGGTGGAACGGACAGACCCGCAAAGTACTGTCTCGCTCTAAAAGCAGCATCTCGGGACGATTTCCACATTGCCTCTCACAAGAGGATGATCCTCGCTTTACGTTGCATGGCTGATTCTCATTTCTTTGGCTAATATGCCATAAATTAATGATAAGCCGTCACCCATGCTGTAGGTCTAAGGGCATGTTTAAGGAGCGGGAGGCAGATAATTTTTTCATTTCACACTTGAATTTTTTAATAGCCCTGTTTAATCCAGAAATACCAGACAGAGGCCTGGAGCATCCCTCAAATGATAGACTACTGAAACTAGCTGTATGATCAGCATGGACTAAACATCCTAACTAAACAGATGTTTATAGATTAAATTACTGTTTACAAACAAATGCTTGGAGTTTCCCTGGAACTTCCAGCTTCCCTGGAAAAGACAATTTTTACCATTCAAATTGAGCTGAAAATTAACCAAATGGGCTGAAATTACACTTTTTTAATTTCCACAGCGTGACTGCTCAGACATAAATTTAAAGTCAAATGTGATATATGAACAAGACCACCATATATAAAAAAACCTTGTGGGATGAATATGATTCCTTTTTGCCTACATGCAGCTCATACAGTATTAGATGTTTGTGAAGGAATATGCATTCAAAAAGTCACAAAACAGAAACAATATGTCTATGCATTTATTTTGAAATTATTGAGTAAAGTTTAAAAAAAAACTTTAAAAACCAAATAATCAAAAAACATGCAAAAATGCATGTTGCATAACTAATGGTATTTTTAAAGAAATATATGCAACTTTTATTGGGTTTTAGAAGTTTTGTCTTATATATTTGATGTCTGACAAAATCATATAACTGGTTTTTACTGTAAGCCATCAGCATCATTTTATAATATCTTTTATCAGATTAGTCATCACTGAAGATTCATGCTTCCAGCACATTTCTCGTATATTCTTTATATGTCATTATAATTTAATTCATATTACTTTGTTTATAAGAGCAATTTTACTGAAAGACTCAAAGAGCTGTTGAGGGCATGTTTTGTTCATAAAAAAAAAAAAAAAATCAAGGAGCCCATTTAACTTCATTAGAATTCATAGCTTTTGTCAGTAATTAATTTCAGAAATTTATTTTTGACAAACTAAAGAAAACCCTTTTTTGCTTATCTTACATTCGTAGTGAAGAGAAATGTACTGGAAGCATGAATGTCAATATAGTTGGCATGCAATGAAGTGGGGCCTGTTGATTGGATGATTAACCCCGAATTATTAAAAACTAATTTCATCATTTGTTTCAGACATTGGCTTCCTTTCATTGTCAGCTAGATGCCAGTGCAGCATCAGAGTCATTTAAAACACACTGAAGTGGAAAGGCATTGAGAAGCAAACTTGACAACAGCCATTCGCCCTTCGCTCATGAAATTTCACACAAAACAGCTTAGTGTCCAATTACGCTCTACAGCTTTATTTCAAAAGACAGTAAAGACGAAATGGAACAAAACTTTAGACCATAATCAAATATAACCAGTCTATGAGTCTGTTTGGCAAAACATTTGAATGGATTTATGATGTAAATGGACTTATACTCATGGTTTAATCCTTTTAGGCTGGGTCTTCTGAGAGATAGAGAATAAAAATTGCATGAACAAATGGACAGTTTGCCCGGGGCAGAGCATTTTCGGCCAACAAATAAGACATTCAAGTGCTGTAACTTGAAGCTAAACATGGCACACAAAAAAATAAAAATAAAAAATCAAGGAAAAGCTCCTCAAGTGGGCTATTGTTTATCAAAATTGGATTGTATCAACTCACAGAGCCATATTGTTTCATGACAGCAGAATGAAAACTGTTAGCCCTTTTCAGACAGGACTAGTTCTTATCTAGTAAAAACAAGCGTCTGTGAATTTTAATTCTGTCCGAACAGAATGTCTCTGATGATGGTGCATACATACATACATACATACATACATACATACATACATACGTACGTATTTATTTATTTATTTATTTATTTATTTTTCCCTATGTGCTGTCTTCACAGCTCAGGATCATTTTCTACTGAAGGCTTTGTAAATGTAGATTACACTTTATTTTAAGGTGTCCTTGTTACAGTGTAATTATACATTTAAGTACTGAGTAATATTAATTAACTACATGTACTTACTATATGGTTAGGGTTAGGATTAGGGTTTGGCTTAGGGTTACTTGCTTGTAATTATGCATAATTAATTGTTATTACAATAGTAAGTACATGTAACATGTGTAACAAGGACACCTTAAAATAAAGTGTTACCTGAATGAACATAGAGCGGGGCACAAAGTAACACTTTTTGACTTTCTCAGTTGACCATATGACAGCTTAAAATGCTATCTGATTGAATGAAAAAAAAAATACAAGACAAACTAAAATATTTTGTTAATAAAATAAAATAATTATTTTTTTCAAATAAAATAATGGCATTTTTTAAGAATTAAAAATAATCTGATTTTGGAATTTGACAATGAACACATTGCAACCATGCTTCGGTCGGCCCACATAAACAAGCCACAATGCTTTACATTTCTTGAAATAATAATTTCTAAACATTAAACATTGACTGTCAGTCTTTATTCACCTGTTTCTAGTTGTTTCTCATTACAATTCATTAAAGTAAATAGTGTAAATTGCATCGCTAATGTCATAGAATAGCACATTATAATGCAGTGTTACAACGTGCCCCATCTGCGCAACTGGAGTTTAAAACCAGTTGCTGTCTTCTGATAGTTATCAAAGATAACTATCAGAAGACGATCTGAACTGACAAATAATAGATTGGAGATTAAAATAATAGCAGATTTGTCTCATTTTAAATGATTAATAAAAACTGAGATGAAAAATGTACTTAAGCCAGAATTTAAATTTTATATATAAATAAATTATTTATAAATAAATGTTCAGCGATATCTTCAAAAGATTTAAGAATTTTGGCGCACATTTTTTTCTATACAATGTTGATGTGGTAACTAATAAATACTGTAAATTTTGTTATGCTAGCGTGTGTAGAAATATTCAAACCACGTGTGTTACAACTAACCCTGCATTACTTTGTGCCCCGCACTCCCCTACAGTATTCTTATGGTATCATCAGTGTTGTCATAAAGGCTACTTCTCAAGCATTATCAGTCACATGACATTTACAGCTCAGGAGATTGGCTTAAAAAGTTCTGTGGTTCCATTCGCAAAGATGGCAGCATGCAGGTCACGTTCTCAGGAAGGGTGATGAGGTATAGCCGAGCTCCTGCCACTGAGATGAATGGGAATGCTAACGGATTGTGAACCCAATGAACCTTCATTATGAATTTAGATCATTTGCCAACTTTCTGGTTAAAATAACAGGTGTTTCAAGTACTGCTAGTATCCCATTTAGGGTTGCAAAGGGGTGGAATATTTCCGGTAAATTTCCGGAAACTTTTTGGAAATATTCCAAGTTTGAAACTTACCAGTGCATAAAGCACCTTAAGTTTTTCCCTTAAGTATGAGACTTAAGGCGTGATTTCCCCTTACTTAAGGGTGTTGCATATAATCCCTTAAACACGTCCCTTAGCAAAGGGAAACCGTTAAGTGTTTCACGACAGCGACCCAGGTTTTGCCATTAAAAAAATCGACTGTTGCCATGGTCACTGTGACGAGAGGGGCGGGGCCGACATAGACATAATAAATACCTAGACGCCTCATTGGCCGCTCGACCGCACGTCAACGTCGCCGCCATATTGGTGAAGGCAACTCTCATATCGGGACAGGCGAAAACATACCTGACTCGTCGGCAGCTTGGGCATCTACAAACCGTCGCACAATAATAAAAACAGATCTCGGGGTATTATCTTTCACAGGTAAGACTGAACTGTTGTTTCTGTATGTTTTTTTTGGTCATTTTTAGCTTTATGTTGACAGCTTAATTAGCCACCAGTGTCAGACTATTAATAGCTAGCGACATTGCTAGTAAGCTGTGGAAGCTGAGACTTTATATGAATTAAAAGTTTAAATGAATTCTTAAGTTTTAACTTT